ATAGGGCGCTAACCGAAAAATGCTGCATGAGACGCGAAGAGATGAAAAACGCAGATTACAAGGTTATCATTATTCTGTTCACTCGCATTTCGTTCACGTCCAAACCATTACCATTCTGTGTCAGTTTTGCGTTTTTTTTTCGCTTATAAATAATGGCTTTCATGCAACAATCAAAATATTTTCGATGAAAATTTCTGGAACTTAAAATTAAATAATATCGAATTAATCACGGTTTTGGCTTTCGAATCACGATTTTCTACTAACTTTTCAGTAATATAAGTTGATTGTTGCATATCCCAAAGCCGATGACCGGGTGCATTTGTTGTGCTAACACGTGCAGCTTGTTCGCTTTCCTATCTATCCAGCATAGTTGCAGGGCGAAAAAAATCGGAAGGCGAATATCATGATCCGTGTGAACGTTCCGAATTTTATCATATGAGTGATCTCACTAAACGGGCTGCCCTATTCGCTGGGCCAGATGAATACGATTCGCGCTACTTGGAGAGCAGCCTTGCGTTTGATCCGCTGTCAGAGCTGGAACCGGTTGCTAAACGACCGAGGCCGTCCGAGAGGAGTAAGTGCTTTATCAGTCATTCTGAAAAAAAAAATTAAGTGCACTATATTTTGCACACATTTTACCGCAACCTGCCCAGAATTGTGTCTCAGCCTTGTAAGTTAAAGAACTTTTCAAGATCACTTCGGCAACTGATGTAGTGTTTTGCTATTGATGCGGCAACCTACGCAATGAGCACAGTTTTGCCGGAATTTTCGATCCTGGGCTGAATGACTTCAGCTGATAACATTTACCATCTATGCGGCTTCTTGTCATCTCTTGTGATTTATGCAACTCACAAAAAAATATAATTTTTTAACTTATATTGAGGAAAAGTTTCCAGCGTTGTAAACCACTTTCTTTATTTCTCGCAGGCACATCAAATTTCTTTGATTCCAACTTTCTCGACCTCTTAATTTTAACGCTTAAACCCATTTTTTATTAAATAATTATTTACCGCAATTGACCATAATAGCAGAATG